CTGCTCATTTTAAAACAATCATTATAATGTCGATTTCCAGCTTATTTTTCCTTATAAGTACATCACTTGGCAGCCAATCCAAATAAACCTTCACATCATTCTGTTCTCTTGCTAAGAAAAATTCTGCCTAGTTAGTGATAATATAACTGATAATATAAGCTTGGATTTAAAAAAAGCCCAAAGAACACATTTTGACATGATTTTCTTATACAAGACAACACAAATATTAAACAAAATCAAGGTTTTAAGAAGCCCTGGTTTTTGCTATCAAGGAAAGCATCCTGCGAAGACTAACATTATTACCACATGGGAAACAGGTTCAACATCCAGAGGGAAACTAGGAAAAATTACTCTTCTTAGGAATAAAAAACAAGTATTTAAGGAATGTTTCCATTTTCTTTATTTTTCATAGCTGAAAACTGAGTGAGGCTGTTGAAATAGAAGCTAAGAGCAGGCTACATTCAAAGGACAAAATGTATTAAATGTGGCTCATTTATGTTTGCCTACTTCATGAAATTAACACTTAGAAATGAAACAGAAAAATAGATCCAAAGAAACTCAACCAAATATGTGCTAAAAATGCCTTTGTTAACTGTCTCTGGGTAACTATAAAAAACTACAAAGAAATTAGCAAAACCTAAATACAACAACAAAATTCAATAGTTCTATGCTAGAAGGATTCTTATATATTTTTTGACCATTCCTTCTATTTTTTGTCTTCTCTATTTTAATATACAAGTATCTGCCCCCCACCAAGATTCTGTATCAAGCCCTCTGCTTTTTTTTCTAACTCTACGATACTTCCTTGCAAGCTTTCATCTATTCCCATCACATCAACTCTTCTTCACCTCTTCGTGTACTACCCTCAAAATGCCAGCCTGCTAAACACCTCCAATAGGATATTGTAATATATCTCAAATGTGTCTAAAACAGAATGTCTTTCTTTCAGATCAACGAGTGTCCTGATTTCACTATATCTGTTTATGACATTACTCTTTTCCAAGCTACCTGGGGATAAGGTTTTAGCGTTCTTTTGTTTTATTTACCTTCTTCTCTTCCACAGCCTTCCCCTAAGTCCGCCACTGGAGATCAACCAGTTCAACTCCTATAAAATCTTTCAGTTTCTGATGGCCCTGAATATCACCTGAGGGGTACTTTGTTTTGTCCTCCTATGGAGGGTTCCTGTCAGAAAGCCCATGAATATGCTTTAAAGTGTGGGTTATGGTTTCTAGAGAAAAGATTGGTTCAGGGCCAGAGAAGCTTGCAATTCACCATTTCAGTGAAACCCAAATGTGCAGAAATTGGGTGACACTCTAATCGAATAAAATGAGCATATCTAGTGTGCCCACATGCTATATTTAAAGCTTGTGTATGTTTATCTTTACATCACAGGTATAAAAAGGCAGCACAGACTGTGATAAATGACTTTTACCACAATAACTACATATTAGGCTTATCAGTGACTACATATCAGCCTTAATCAATTACATTTTTTTAAAGATTCGAATTTCTGAATCATTGAGCAATGGTTATGATCCCTATCTGTCTTTTCATATCTTCACTGTGGACCTTAACACATTTAAATATGAATTTCCTTGTCTGTCTCCCAGGGCAAGAGTGTCCTACACAGGATTACCTCTCATTCATTTTCATATTCCCAGCACTTAACACAGTGCCTGATATAAAAGGCGTGTTGGATGAATTAACTTATACTGCCTATTAGTCAATAAATGCTGACTTTTCTATTACTAACAATAAAAAAGATACTGTGCTCAACTGTGTTAAAAAAAATTGGGGATGTAAAAGGAATTATTTTCAAATAAAAATTGAAACAGTTCTAACATTCCTTTTTTATACTTATAAAGCCCATTTAATCTGGTCATTCTTTGTCAATTATTCTTAAAACTTCAAGTATTTGAGAGTTGCCTTCTTCATCCTTCCAGTGTTGCCAATTTTTTCTTTCCTCAAAAATTCATGACATCTTATTCATTGCTCTTATTCATGTGCATATTTGAAAATCACTCTTAATATACTAAAATTATAATTGTTAGGCTAATTAGACTAAAAGACCAACTAGTTGAGGCTTTTAATGACTTTTTCATGTTTTTCTTAGCAGGAGAAAAAAAGAGATAAAGACGAAGAAGGCTGGCAGGAAAACAATTCCATTTGCTGATTAAAAGCAACATTCAAAACAACTCAATGCAAAAATATTTTTTAAAAAAATCTGCTGGTTTTGCCACAGAACCAGTTAAAAGCAAGGTCGTTGGACTTAAAATAGTGATGTCTAATATTCAAATGAAAGTCATTTATATCTTGGTGATGTAAATTTCTAACTATCAGCCCTCAAACTTAAGTCTGCTTCAAACACAAACTCCTTGGGTGGGGACCTTTAGAAAATTTTTTTGGAAACCAATAAACCATCACCATCTGCCCAACCGGATGCAGTGGAGCACAACATAGGGACAGTGGATGTGAGAGACAGAAAGATAATCCACAAATAGACCTAACTCCATGGAAATAAGAGCCAGAGAGGACCAGGATAAAGTAAGCAATCACTCTCATTCCAGAAAGACTGGGAAAGACACAGGCCTCCTCCACTTATAGAATAAGGCTTGAGTCAACTGTAGTATTTGACTCTCAGATGATAGGCACTTTAATGAACACGTGGATTTGAAAGTGAAAGAAACATCAAGAAGAATGTTCTATGATTGTAACCTTAAAAAGGAAGAGTTGGTGTAATGGAACATTCGGTAGAGAGCTTTGGAGCCTCGACCATTCAATTATGTACCATAAAGCTGACCCAGAACTGTCTTTGTTGGGGGACAAGTAGGAGTTGGCTCTCACTACAGGACTTGCTGAGCCCACCTGGGGGCAGAGATGGAGCAGTTATTCATTCAGACAGTCTTAGTTAGTTTCCTTCATTTTTAATAGATGATTTCAATCCTGTCTTATTTGTTTATTTGCATTGGTTGATTTCAAAAGTCAATCTATTTTCTTTTAATCAGCAAAATCACTCTGGATTCCAGGACTGTGCCAGAGAATATATCCCCATATATTTTTCTGCCTCCAACTCTTATCAAAATCAAAGGTGCAAAAAGTAACATTCCCAGAGGATGATAGTCTACAAGATATGTAGTTTATCACTGTAATTTGCCTATGTTTTAACCCTAAACCAAACCAAAACATCATTCATTAAGCTGAAAAAATATTTGGATAGTCTTTTTTTGTTTGTGTGTATGTGTGTGTGTGTTTTTTGGATAAGTCTCTCTACTCCTACAAAATTGCTTTTACTAAATTGAGCTCTGTTGTGATGTCTTCTGCCTACTTGCTATCGGTTTCATAGGTGAGACATACTGAGGAAATTTCCTCTCACATCACTCAGCCAGCCCTTCATAAGCCCCATGGGAGAAGATCTCCTCAGACCTTCAGTGGAAGGAAGAGCTTTGGCTCTTCTAATCAAACGCCACATTCTTATTTTATAGACCAATGCAAGTCTCATGAGTACCTGGCCACGTAATGAAATTTAATTCAATTGAACTTATTAATTTTTCATTTTTATTATAACTTTTTAATCTCTTCTCACATAGATTTAAAATAAGAATACTGTAAAAGACACAGTTAAAGTGTAATATTTTTAGTTAAGTACATATATTCTCTATGTTTCCAGAGAGATGAACTAAACTATGGCTTCTGCAGCTTCCTGCCTTCTTGAAAGAATCAGGTCTCCTTGAAGGAGCTAACAAGGAAGGGGCTAACAAGGAAGCATGGGGCCACTTAGTAACAGGGTCTCCTAATTTTAATATGTCACTTCAGCACCTCTTCTATGGGCATAACTTTATCAATTAGCCACCCTTGACCAACTTGTGTCCTCAGTCTTGTTGGTCAGTGATGCCTGGACTGAAATGTTCTGACATCACATATGCCTATTGTTTGCCTGGCACCCATCTCTGTCCTGTGTCATCTTACCCAAAACTGTGCCATCAACATACCAGCTGCCTCTACCCTGATCAATTTGGCAAACAAGAAGAAATGAGCTAAAAAGAAAGCAAGGTTTACAAATCTATGAGAAAAAAAAAATCAATTCTAAAACTTGGTTTGATTATATTTTAACTGGATACTTTGTAGAAATCCAAGTCATATTGTACTTGTATTCATTCATTTTATTTAGTGTGTAAAATATAAATGCCATTTAGAAATTTCAGATACACTAAATTCGTTAGGAGATAACAAGCCAGTAAATGTGGTCTCTTTTCCGTGGATATTAACCTTTAGAAAAATCTACCCTGAAATAGACAACTTAAATATTGTCTTCAAAAAACTATTATTCTCAAGCTAACCAGTACATATATGCACTTGCCATCAATGTGTAGGTGGAAGGAAAATAAATTCTAATATAAACTGAAGAGAGACATTAATAGAAAAATAAATATGCTTTCAAAAACAACTCTCAAGTGAACTAAATTATTTAAGAACTGTGTTATTTCAGATTATCAAAGCTTCTTTATGGAAGTGATCACTCAAGGGTTGCTTCCTAACTCATTCTATGAGGCCAGCATTACCCTGATTACCAAAGCCATGCAAAGATACAAGAAAACAAACTGCAGACCAATATCTCTTATGAATATTGATGTAAAAATCCTCAACAAAAGACCAGACAATCAAAGTCAATAACATGTTAAAAGGGTTATATACCATGACCAAGTGGGATTTATTCTCACTTGGAATACAAGGATGGTTCAACATATGAAAATCAATCAATATTGCACACCACATTAACAGAATGAAAGGAAAAAAACCTATATGATCATCTCAATTAACGTAGAAAAAGTGTGTGACAAAATTCAACACCCTTTTACGATGAAAACACTCAAAAAACTAGGAATAGAGAAACTACCTCAACATAATCAAGGGTAGCTGTACTCATAAAAACATCATGTTTAGATTAATAACCTACATCAAGGAAACCAGATTCATTAAAAATGCTCATAAGGAGTACTTACCTGCCAAAATTTTCTTGAACTGTCTAAACCATATATCACAGTGGTCTTCACTTAAATTAATAAGATCAAGTGTAGAATCTTGTAATTTATTTTGTTCCTTTTTCAAACATATGAAGAGTGTGATACCTAATAAAGTACCACTTCCCTGCTGTTTTGCAGAATAACGTCGTTTCAGTTTGACAGAGAATATGTCCTTGAGTTCAATAAACTCTTCTTTACATAGTAAATCATACTGGAAATCACCTGAAAAGAAATTAAATTTTCCATCAAAACCTCTGTGTCCATTCTTATATGTATAAATCATAAATAGTGAAAACCCAGAAAATCTTTACCATTTGTAATTTTACTGATTGTGCTTTATATCAGTCCCTGTATAAGATAGGAGGTAAGTAAAGAAAAATTGGGTCTATTTTCCCAAGAATGAAAAAATAGAAAAATGGAAGAGAGTCCCTGCCACACAAAGCCTAGGACATTCAGAATCTGAAGATATTCAATATATGGAGAATTCCAAGAACATAAAGAAAGCAACATTTCAGTAATAATAAATTAGCATCATACAAGAGTCTCCTTGGTACTAATAGGGACAGAATAAAGTAATGGAAAGAACAGAATTCACTAACAGAAGTGAGTTTATGACAGGTGGTTGATGGCAATATGGAAAGGTAACGTACATTCCAGGTTAAGTAACACACATGCAAAAGGAAGCAGAGTAAGATGACTCTGATTAGGAAACATGAACTCCTGCCAGGTTAGACAGAAAGATTCACCTGAATCTTACCACAGTCAGACTTTATTTTGTACAGATCTTCCTTGGCTTACTATGGTTTTACATCCCAATTAACCCAACGTAAGTTGAAAATATAAGTCAAAACTGCATTTAAAACATCTAACCTACCAAACATCATTAGCTTAGCCTAGCCTACCTTAAGCCTACCTTAAATGTGCTCAGAACACTTACATTAGCCTACGGTGGGGCAAAATCATCAAACACAAAGGCTATTTTTAACAAAGTGTTAAATATCTCACATAACTTATTGAATACTGTACTGAAAGTGAACAGTAGAATGGTTGTATGGGTACAGAATGGTTCTAAGTATACTGGTTTTTTTACCCTCATGATCACAAGGCTGACTGGGAGCTGTGGCTCACTGCTGCTGCCAAATGTCGTGAGGGAGTACTGAACCTCACATCACTAGCCCAAGAATAGATCAAACTAAGCAAACTACTGGAGAGGAGAGAGCTGCAGGAAGAGAGGACTCTAGCTCTGCAGAGGGCCCCCTGGATTCTTCAGCTGAGGATGGATCAGCTCTTGAGCAAGGCCAGGGAAAGAACTACCCAAAGGCTTAAAGAGAACAGTGCTCAGAGATCACACAGGTGTTCCCACCAGCCAAAGCGGAAAAATAGTGAAATCCACAGGACACAGTATCTAGAAGAATATTGTCTCATTAGTGAGCTGACTAAAGACTCCTATGATTCCACCTAACAGCCTAAACGCAAGCAGCAAAAGGATTAAATGGTTTCCAAGTAACCTAACCACATTCTAGAACAAAGCTCAAGAATATTTATGAGAAGATAAAAATAGCAACTCTATAAGGTAAAATTAACAGTATCTCTTAGTCAATCAAAAACCACTATGCACGTAAAAAAGCATAAAAATATGACCCATGACAGCTGAAAAAGTAATCAATAGAAACAGATGCAGAGGCAACGACAGCGCTTAACCGGCCACAGGAAGCAGAAGCCCTCTCTCGGCTTCCTTAGCCCTTGAGCAGGCACAGAGATACTGTCAGATTGGAGCAAGGATGCTCCGTGTGCTTTAAGAAGTTCCTTGTCTGCATTCTTGGGGAGTTTTTTTGGCCTTTCCCAACTGTTCTGCAAACTACAGCCCAATGGCTCACAGAGCACACATAGCACTAAAAAAGAAAGAAAAAAAGAAGCCCTTTCCTCAATGTGGGATAGGGTGAACCCCACATCAGTTTTTCGGGCCTATCGTTTCCTCAGAAGGCTCAAGCTTCAGGTCTGTGTATAGTCTATCGTCACCCAGTGACCTAAGATTCGATAGCCTCAAAGTATCAATTCAACAGGAAACATGTATATGTCTTAGAAAACAAAACCGTCATCACTATTACTACAATTATCACTTAAACTAATCAATAAAGTGAAAGAATTATAGCATTATAAACCAAAATATTCCCCCTGCTTTCATGAGCTGAATGATTCACCAGACCCCTTTTCTGTAAAAACTCATGGATTAACCTGTGTCGATAAGATTGACTTTTCTCCAGTACAACTGTTCCCAAACTCTTTGGTCTCAGAACTTGTTTACATTCTTAAAGACTGAGGGCCTCAAATAACTTTTGTTCATGTAGATTGTATCTATCAGTATTTATCACAGTAGACATTAAAATGGAGACTTCTTTAAAACACAAGACTACAAAGCACGCACTCCATTAGCCATCAGGGCAGGGATGTCACCACATATCTCAAAGCCTCCGGAAAACTCCACTGTATCCTTGGAAGAGAATGAGAGTGAAAATAGCAAATAAGTTCTTAGTAATTTATGAAAACAGCTTTGAACTCACTAATTCCCTGAAAGGGTCCTAGACCACACTTTGAAAATGCTGCTTTAGCAAATTTTAGATGGCCTGTTCCCTTTGGTCATATAATCAAGTTATGACCTTTTACAGACTCAACTTTTCAATTAAGTAAAATTGTTGCTTCCATTTTAATATTCCAAATTGTCAGACTGACCAGCGAGAGTTCCTCCAATCTGTCTCCTTTGTTACAATCTCCAGATGTCTTTGAAAATAACCTTTCTTTCTTATAACAGCATAATGTTTCAAGCTCATCTGGATTCCTCAAAGAGCCCTAGTTCCTTTCAGGGAAGGGTATAAAAGCTGGACAGTACGTATTATGCACAAGGGAAACCGAGGTCTCATACAGTAAACCATCAGTAACATATTTGCACCTCGTGAGCTTATTACCAGTTCTTTGCATTTGTTGAGCAGGTAGGCTATGGCCAGGGTCTCTAGAACACTTGGGAGTGACCAGGGAGATCTCACATCCTTCTTCTACCTTCAAGAATAAAGTGAAGCAGGCTTGTCAAAGGCCCTTACAAATCCTCTCCCTGCAGGATGTAATGGACTGTAGAGTAAATGGTGCTCTGTGAAGTTTAAAGAAGCTAGCCTTTCTTGTAGAGGTGCTGGGCATCTGCTTATATAGCTGAATGTGCACAGAGAAGTTGTACCACTTACCTACCTGGAAGGAATTTGTATCCTTGCTTATATCTGTGGGTACTTTTCCAAAAATCAGTTAGTCAACCAATTAATAAAGCTGAACATCTTTTATTTATTTTTCATTTGCATTTCTTAAAAGAGTTGCCTCTACACATGCATTTTCCTTTTTCTATGTGGTTTCTTGTCTATTTCTCACTAATTTGTAGGAGTCCTTCAAATAGTCTTGAAATTAGCCCTTTGTTATATATATATGATATATGTTGCAAATAACTTCTAGATTAATCTTATAATATTGCTTATGACTTGTGCCTCATATAAATTTAATTTTTTTATGTAGTCAAACATATAACAAATAAGAGCTCCAAAGAAAGAAGGAAAGGAGGGAGGGAGGAAGTGAAGAAGAAAGGAAGGAAGCAAAGCACCACTGAGGGAAAGGAAAAATGAAAAGGATAAAATAAACTTCCCTTTTCACTTGAAGTCCTGTATTGTCTGAATTCTTTACCGTGTGTGGTTTACTTTGGTAGTAAACAATTCAATGACTATGCGAATTTAGACCTCTTGTAAAGTGCAAATTTAAATATGCTAAACCAATAGCCAAGATAAAACTTAGTAGCAAAAGCCAGAAAAATTTCTGGAAACAAGGCAAGAATACCTATTATTACTCTTATTATTCCCAATTATTCTGGACATTCTGGCCAGTAACATGTATAAGGAAAATGAAATAAAAGACAAAAATTGGTGGTAGAAGGGACAGGGGTGCTGAAACTATAATTTGTTTAGGGATGATATCAATATATTGGTAAAATCCAGAAGAATCAACTTAAAATCATTTGAACTAATAAGAGTCTCCAGTAAGGAAGCCAGTTACAAATATATCAATCCCCAGGAAGAAGACATAACGGGTTAAAGAGATCCCATGTCAATTAGCATTTTATACCTAGGAATAAGTTTAGCAAAATGATCCTCAACTTGTAAAGGGGGGAAAACCCATTCAAAATATACTGAGAGACAAAGAATGGAATAAATGGAGATAGACTAAGTTTCAAGATTACATATTTTTCTATGCCAGTATTCTCATTATTGATAATTTTTATAACGCAATCCCAATCAAAATCTCAATGGTATTTTCTTTGATATAAGGGGCAAGGAACCTAATCAAATGATTTGCAAATTTTCTTGTAATAAATATATTACATTAATGAAGAAAATGTTTTAAAAATACAGTAATGAGGGGAGTACACACCTGATCAGATACAATATTTTGTAAAGCTATAATAATTAAAACATCTAGGAATAGATAAATGAATGGTCCAAAGAAACACTGTATACATTTAAAAAGTCACTAATGTTAACAATGGTGGGATCTAAGTTCAGTGGGAAACATTCGATAAAAGGTGATTTAGAACCGGTTAATCTTTTGAAAAAGAAAAGAAAAAGTAGAGCCTTGCCTCGTCATATACACCAATATTTATAGATTAGAAAGAACTTTACATAACCATGAATTAATAAAGGCCTAAGCATGACAGTAAAGGCAGGCATCCAGACACAGAGATACTTAACATCAAAATTATTTAATGCCTATAACATCCCAAGGACCCATAAATAGAAGTCACAAGTAAAGGCCGACTGGGCAGAAATATTTGCAAGATGTGACAGTTAAGTAATCTATTTAAATTAAGAAAAGAAACACTTTAGTGGAAAAGTACATAAAAGATCCAAGCAGGCATTTCACCAAAGAAGAAATGCAAATCGATCAATGAACAAATGAGGAAGTTCAAGCTAATTAGTAATCAAAGAAATGCAAATTAAAACAACAAGATACCATTTTTTGCCTTTTAGATTGGCATAAGATCAAAAGTAATTCTCAATGCTCGTGTGGGTAAAGGGAACCGGTCCCAGTGCTGGTGGGAATGTGAAAATGGTGACTGCTGGAGAACAAGTGGGGAATATGCATCAAAAGATTTCAAAATGTTAATTGCAGCAGTTTTATAATAGCAAAAACATTTG